CACAGTCCCCGTTATTTGATTATAAAGTAGTACAAGGAACATCTGCAAACAGGTGAATGAATATGTACTCTATGTGGGTGCAACTCATGAAGTGATTTCCCATAATCTAGTTTTGTAATGACAACTAAAAACTTCCACTGACCCATGTTCAGAATCTCAGAGTACATAAGTACAACAAAGCTATGTGTTATACTTGCTCAAGAAACTGCATTCATAAATCTGAGTGAACCTTGATGTACATGACTCTTTGTTAATTAAGGTCTTAGTATATAACCAGGACCTGGGTCAAATCAAAGATCAAATAACTGCATTGTTTTAATTTGCATATTTTTGGGGGGGTGTGGTCATTATTCAGTGGCGGATCCAGAGGGGGGGCCAGGGGGCCATGCCCCCCCAAACGCATGAAGTTTCATATCATCTGGATTACGCATAGCTTCTCTGCGATTTTCGCTCCGTGTATCTTAAGCTTGCCCCCCCCCCAATACATTTTGCTGGATCCGCCACTGTCATTATTGCCAAAAGCACATCTACTCGTTTTAAGGTGTGATCCTACCACATATGAATAAAATCAACACGGTGGTTGCTGAGATCAAAGCAAATAACTAGATTTGCATATTTGTTGGATAGGGTGTGGTCATATTAATAATAACTTAAAAGATGACTTCCGATGATAAAAAAGCTATTTTGAAATTAGGTTCTGAGAAGTTGGTTCTGAGGTCCTGCAAAGTTGGTTCTGAGTTCTGAAAAGTATACACTACCGATCGAATACATTGGTAAAACTTGTGAATCAGAAATCAGGAATTCATGAATCTGGATCTGAATTTAACAGAATCAATTATTCTAAGCATGCTCAGTTGCTCTGTCAGTGTAGTAGAGGTAGGTAATTTTGGTTGAAAATCTTGAAAAAGACCCACTTAGGATTTTCAGATCTGGAAAAAAAAATTACGTGCATATGTAACACAGACTTGTTCATCAACCTGCCAAGTTTCATTGACATCTGCTGTAGAGTCCCTGAGAAAATGTGAGAGATAACTTGCAGCAACTTGAAACAGAACATAATCATATTGTGTATGTTATGTTATGTGGGAATGCAGAAAACAGAACATAATCATACTGTGTATGTTATGTTATGTAGGGAATGCAGAAAACAGAACATAATCGTACTGTGTATGTTATATTATGTGGGGTATGCAGAAAACAGAACATAATCGTACTGTGTGTGTTATATTATGTGGGGTATGCAGAAAACAGAACATAATCGTACTGTGTATGTTATATTACGTGGGAATTTAGAAAACAGAACATAATCGTACTGTGTATGTTATATTATGTAGGAACTGCAGAAAACAAAACATAACCAGACTGTGTATGTTATAATATGTAGGGAATGCAGAAAACAGAACATAATCATACTGTGTATGTTATATTATGTGGGGAATGCAGAAAACAGAACATAATCGTACCTGTGTATGTTATATTATGTGGGAATGCAGAAAACAGAACATAATCATACTGTGTATGATAAATTATGTGGGAATGCAGAAAACAGAACATAATCATACTGTGTATGTTATATTATGTGGGGAATGCAGAAAACAGAACATAATCATACTGTGTATGTTATATTATGTGGGGAATGCAGAAAACAGAACATAATCGTACTGTGTATGTTATATTATGTGGGG